TGAAAATTATACATTTACCTAAAACTTTACTGAACGAATTTTTGTACTATTTTTGGAATGATCTTGAAGAATCGCATTATCCTTTTTTTATGGAGTTGCTACATTAGAATATTACGTTTTGGGACATTGATTAGATTTTTTGTGGTTGTTACTTATGCTGTTGTTTTGGTTTGAGGATTTTTATGGGAGGGATTGGAAAGGGGGAAAGTGGAAAAGGAGCAGTAGGTTTCCCCACGGCGTGGTGAAGGCAGTCTTGTTTGTGTGAAATATAGGCGTGCTATATTTATTCATCATCTCCTTACGCCAACTTTTGTCCGCATTTCACCTTCAATCCTATCTCCAAATTTTCTTGGTCTCAACCAACCCATCGTACCCGGGGAACAATCAAGCCCAGTGTATTACTCACTAAGGACGAGTTTTTTTTTAAGTGTTTGATTGGAAGTTTACGTTTTGAAAAAATGTATAATTTAAAGATATTTTTTTTTTTGAAGTGTTTACATTATGGATTGTTTAATTAGAGTGGAAGATGATAGTGTTTTAAAAATTATTACAATTTGGTCCGCGACAAACATTTGACATAGGAGGTTCTTCTATTACTTACTTTTTAAAATGTTTTTGAATGGAACATTTTCCACAATCATTTTGGGAATGGTTGGAAAGATTCTAAATGATTTTCAGTTCTTAATCTCTCTAATATTATCGTGTAGCAAATATTTCAAATAAAAAGATTGCTCATATGATAAGGAATTTATTCTAAAAAATATTTAGTTACAATATATATCTGTTGTCCTCCTCTTTCTACACTTTTTTTGACACACTAAGAGAAAACAATTATAGTTAAATAGAGCATTACGGTCTACTGATATAGGACCCACACAAATCATATGGGAATATAATCTGCGTTATAACATTTCTCTAGTGTTTCTACAACTCTACATTAATCTACAGAACAATGTTGGCCAACCAAGCTTTTCAAAATGCAAATAAGATTAATTTCATTTTTAAGAAAATTTTTAGAATTAAAATATATTTATCATTTTCCTCAAAAATAAGATTATTAAGTTAAAGAATTCCTTATAATAAACAAAATATGTGCAAAAAACTTGAATCCAAGTATAGTCGATCGTATAAGCTGGCTTGGTGGAGCCTACCGAATAGTTTTCAACGAGAAATTTGATCTGGATTGTTTTTTCAATCCCACACCTCTATTTCCTTTTATTATTTTTTACAATATGCCACATAAGTGAACCTTACCACTAGGTGTTCATTACTCACTCTTCATCCCCAAACCAATCAATGGAAGGAGAGGCAGTATAGTGCGCGTGTGCGAAAAGGACATTCAGTTCTCATGTCATTTCTCACACACCATACACTGCACCCTCATCAAACTGTCAACTTCCAAGGAGCTTTCGGCCTACTCCTTTCCACCACCTGCAACAGACCCACTCCACCACGACAGAATAGGTGATATGTGAAGAGCGCACCTCTCCCTCCGCATGCCAGAAGCTCGGGCGCCTCACTCCAATAGCTCGCCTAGATCTCCTCCCCTTGCGCCGCCTCCGGCACCGGATTATTTGAGCTTGAGTTCAGGGGGTCCGAGAGTTGTTTTCTGTGGGCCCTTTTTGAAAAAGTCCGATCGGACAAAGGTTTTCACCACCCCACAATTTGGCAAAGTCATACCGTATGGTAGAATCCCTTTGGAAGCTTTCGTGATGAGAAAAAGGGAGTTAATGGAAAGATAGTGATAGGCTCACACAAGCGCTCTGATGATAAGGATCAGAGAGTGCTCGTTACCCGTCAAGAGGCTAGTGAAATAAACAGGGCTCTCTCTCTCTCTCTCTCCCACTATACTTATGATAACTCTGACCAAATAGTATTTCAACCTTCAAATTTTTTTATTTTTTTTTTTCATTTTGGGTTTTTGGACTGTATGTGAACGGGTTGAATTGAACATGTGGTTTAAATATTGTATATGGATTTTTTTGGGCATTGTATGCATAGTATGTATGTGTATGTGTATGATGTTATGCAGGCATACACAAATGAGCTGGAGAATGAAGTTGGACGTTTGTTGAAAGAAAATGCTAATCTCAGAAGACAACTAGAGAGATTGCTTGAATCCAATCGTCCTTTCCTTTTTCTCTCCCTCTCAATCTCTCTCTCTCTCACTCTAATCGAATGCCGTGGGAACAAAGTGACCTTCGATGAGAGAGAAAGTAGTAAAGAGAGAAGAATCAATAAACCGAACCAGAAAGGAAAAGAGGGGCGTGACGCTACTCTGTGCCGACTGCGCTGCAGTCTCTCTCTCTCTCTCTCTTGCAGAAGGGGAACCAGATTGACAATGGCCCTCTCTCTATCACCCGTGGCAGTGCAGGTGGATCGGTGCAGAGGTGGTGGCTGAGAAGATGAAGCAAAGCCGTGGTCAGTGAGAAGGGAAATAGAGCTGTCTGCAGAGAGAGAAATTAGAAAATTTGGGTTTGTCCGGCGGACGGCCAAGGCGAGGCTGCCGCCCGCCGGTGAAGCGAAAATACTAGGTTCTGGTGTCCCGTGAACCTCAACCAAACACCACTGGGTTTGCTCCGTTGAACTTTCCGATGCAGTCTGTGGAGCAAAAAATGGCAGTGCAAACGGATGTGGAGGCTAATCAGTATACTTTGAAGGCATGTGTGGAGTCCATGACGGCGGTCACAAACTTGTCGCACCGGCTGCAGAGTAGGACAAATGAGGTGCAGCATTTAAACTCCCAGCTGGCTCTGCTTCAACGCATGTATAAGGATGCGCGAGCAGAGATAAGCGTTCTAAGGGCAGAAAACAAGGAGCTGAAGCGGAAGGCCACCGTGATGTTCCGATTTGGAGGGCTGCCATATGCTGCAGGGGAGGAGCAGGGAGTAGTGATCGTGCCCAGTGGAGTGGGAAACACGGAGGCAACACCGTCAAGGGCCGCCCAGGACGGAGGCAAGAAGAAGAGACCGGCGGCAGAGTAGAGAAGAAAAAATGCCGCCTGTGGATGTGGTTGTTTGGGTTTTGTTTGTGGTTTTTTTTTTTGGTTTGAAAATAAAAGAAAATAAATTTGAAGAGAAGTATGTGAATAAAATTGAAGAGAAATGTATGAATGTGAAAGGAATAAAAATAAAAAATAAATAAAAAAAGAAAAGTGAGATTCAAATTTGTTTGGTCGAGTCCTACCACTAAAGGAAAAGTAAGATGATGGGTGTGCAAACCAGTTGGTGGTTCGGTGTCTTTTCAAAAGATGGAGTAAAATAAATATAAAGAAAAGCAAGTGGAGTGGGCAACAGGAGTGTAATAAAAAAAAAAGAAGAAAAAGTATAGGTTGAGCATCGTGGGGAACAGGAGTGAGCTGTTGGTAAAAGTTGGAAAAGTAAGATGATGGGTGTGCAAACCAGTTGGTGGTTCGGTGTCTTTTCAAAAGATGGAGTAAAATAAATATAAAGAAAAGAAAGTGGAGTGGGCAACAGGAGTGTAATAAAAAAAAAAGGAAAAAGTATAGGTTGAGCATCGTGGGGAACAGGAGTGAGCTGTTGGTAAAAGTTATAAATGGCTTTTGCTAGTGGTAGGGCCCACCAGCAAAAGAAAAGGCAAACAGGTTGTTGATATGGGCAATGTGATTTAGAGTGGGGCTATCCGTGGACTCATCATCACTGTAAGAAGAAAGTTCAGAGTCTTCTTGGGGCCTCTAAGGAGTACCGTGTTCTGCCCAAGTGGAGCTCTGAGGGCCAGTTGATCAAATGTCAGGCACTCACCTTAGAAGCAAAGAAAGGCAGTTCAGTGATGCATGACTGCACAAATGCACACTCTACAACATCTGGAACCCCATTAAGACCCTTCAAGCAAGCATCAGCAAAAAATAGCTCCAGCATAGGCCATTGAGAGTGTAGCTGAACCCATTTACCTCAGATCTGGTGTTGATGTGGCTGATATCGGCGGCGACGCCGGGGGTTGCGGCGATATCATAGAGGGAGAGCTTGGAGACGAGTGGGTTCAGCTTCATCAGCAGCGCAAGCGGCTGCCCGATGCTGCCGGCAGCTCTCAAGACGGCTACCTTACGCTCCGGAGCCGAGTCCGATGAGTAGAAACGACGTAGGAGATGAGTAGATGAGGCACCTGTTGTACACCATCTCAGAGTTGCCAGAGAAGTTTGGTAATCGATCAGTGGTGAACGCCGAGGTTGAGGCCTGAATATGGTACGGAAGTTAAATAGTCCACATTTTTCCTGTTAAACTCTTCCATAGCTTTCTCATATTGTGCTTGCATCTTGGTAGTTTTTCACTGCAAGTACCTTTCTCCTCGATCAAGAGGGCTTGAGCGTGGGATTCCGAGGCAGAGTCCTCGGAGACGATTGAACAGCGAAGAGAGAGAAGATCGATTCGCGAAAGTGAGTAGTGAAATTCACTGAGATACTACTTACAGAGAGAGAGAGAGAGAGAAGATTTGGACAATGATGATTACCAATTGTGTCTTCAGAATTCTGGGCTTATATAGATGCTCATTGTCTTGCTCACATTAGCACAAACAGAACAGTATTAGGCAAAGCCATATAAGGATCTTAAATAATTAAACATTATTTATAGAATGAACAATGCATGCCACCATTTGATTTAGTATAGATGCCAAATGAGGAGAAGATTGGGAGAATTAAAAACAAATAACTACATAAGAGTCAACCACTATTAGCCACAAAGTGGAATTTGGTCAACCTATAATCCAGTATTGCCTCACCCCAAACTGTATTTTTAATCTCCAGATAATATACCAAACAGCCTAAGTTGATTATCTTATTTCTACATTCTTACTTGGGCTGCTTTTTAACTTGTGCTTGCATAGTCTTTGTTTTTGCATGTTTTAACACACACACACACATATATATATATGCTGCATACTTTTTGTGTCACTTTTATTTTTGTTTTTGTTGTATATATGCTGACAGCTTGGTTAGGTATAAGGTAATAACATCTTTCCTTTAATAAATAAAATACCTGAGTGGCGAAGACGAGTAGTTCACCAACAGAGAAAAGAGCTACGAAAACATAGAGGCTCTTAAAACAGAAGGCGGCAAAGCAAAATGCAGCCCCCAGAAGTGTTGTTGCAGAGAGGATCTGCAAATGTGCACAACGAGTTGAATGATACAGACCATAAATATCTTAGTGTAATTTAAAAAGAAGAAAAAAAATCAACATAAGAATAGCAAATGACAAATGCAGCATGCAGGATTACAATTGAAAACCAGTAAAATTCTCCTCATGACCTGCATAAACCATATGCCACTATGAGTATTTTATGCTATGCTATTGGCAAGGAACTTATGATTAATGTGAATCCATTCCTAGAGGTGACATTCATGGAACTACTAAAGTTTAACCAAACTTTTCAGTGGTTAACATAATGAAGAAAAAAATCAATAATACAAATCTTATTTCCATTAGATGTAGGGTGTACTAAACCTTTAATGCCACGTTTGATTACCGGATTAGAGTTTATGGATGGGATTAGTATTGGGTAGGAGTATATATACCATGAGAGTGGATTGGTATACTGTTTGTTTTCCTATGGCAGAGTGGATTGGTCACCATGGAGGAAAAGAGCTTTTTATGCAGAGCTCAAAATCTTACCTACTCCAATCCCAAAAATAAGATAAAATAAATTAACAAAAACTAGATGCAGAACTTTCATTTGTGAAGAAAAAGATGTCAGAAATGTGCAGCCACCAACTTTTCTATAGGATTAAACAATTACTATTTACAAACCCATGAGGCCTATGCTATCTCCTCCATACACCAAATCAATGTTCCTTGAAGCCTTCAAGAGAACAAAGTCAAATTAGGCAAAAAATATTTTTGTGACAAAGTCTATGCAAGAAAATAGATAAATCCATTTGAAATAAATAGACCATAAAACTCAGAGAAAAACGGGACCATTAAAGTTTCATGAAAACAATACCAATTCCTTGCCAAGCTCGACATCATCTTGGTAGCTGCTCTGCTTGCCTTGGCTACTCCCACAAAAGACACAAATACTCTTGAACACACAAAGATACGTACACACATAGTTAATACAAACAAACTTAACTTAACAAGATATCATAACATTAAAAACAAAACTTAACTTACATCACATGTGCCTAAAGAATCTTATGGTTATGGTCTCTTTTTATATAAATTATTGCTTTATTACCAATCATGATGCTCCACATAACCATCTAATCATTATTTATGCACAGCAAATGAAAGTGAATTTACATGTAAGAAGAAAAGATTCATTGTAATTTCCATCAGCTAGGAATATCTATATAAATTATTGCTTTAAAGTGAATTTAAAGTGAATTTATATAAATTATTGCTTTAATACCTATGATACTTCATTTCTTATTGCACTTTGTATATTGTTCATGTTGGATATGATGTACAAAAAATTCACACCAATTTATATTTATGTTATGTGATTTGTCTAAATAAGCATAAACTGTTATTAACTCATTGCCTGTAGTGTATATTAACCATAACCTGATAGGTGTCATTACAATGAAGACTCAAAGGTTAAAAAAACTAGTTCCTATAAATTAAACTATGTGCAAAAGCATACACCATAAAATAAAAGTAAATATAGATGAGGAAAAAGGGGTATATGAAGATGGATACCATACATAAAGATGAACAGATAGAACAAAGAAGAATCATAAAGGTAAAGGCCCCTGTTTCACAAGGAATAAATTCTGCATCCACTAATAGCAAAAACACAAAATGTTACAAACTTTACAGCTTTATTCCAAATCTAATCCACATCAAGATCAAGAGAATTATAGTTCAAATTAACAACTCATTCAGGCACAACCTCACATCAAAATAATCAGATTCACAAAGATTTCATAGCTGAACCTCACAGCAACAAAGTCAACGCAGCAAACACAAAGGGTATACACAACCAATCCAAACCCAAATCATCAAATTGACCATTGAACATCAACAAGAGCACAATTAACCAAATGGGTCACCATAGATTCATCTTTGGATTAACAAAACAGTACATACACAAAGATTCTTGTATAAACTAATTCAGAAGTAGAATTAGATACTCACGCAAAGGGAGAGGGATCAACAAAGAGAGCAATTCGGTGAGGCCTGGAAATAACTTCTGAGCAAATATTATCAACTTCTTCTTGGAAAATGTTTTTAAAAGCCCAATCACTTCAATATCAGAATCTCCTTGTTAAGAATAATATTGTAATACTGAACATCTCTACTGTTAGATTTCCAATCAATCATTTCTTCATAAAAAAATAAAAAAAAATGCTAAGCACGTAGAGGTGATAAATGAGGAGTTTGAGGAAATAAAAACTTTACAAATCAGAAGGTTAGAAAAAATGTAGCTAAGATTTCGGGTAAGCTAAACAGTGACATAATGGGGCAAAAAAAAAATGAAGAAACCAAACATTTATATACACACACACACAACACAAATAAGCAATAGATCTCAAGCAGACAAAATTCAGATCAGCATAGGAAAAAAACAGGCTAATATTGTTGATGCTATGGAGATAGTGAAGACCTCTCAAGATCTGTCTGCACCAATGCTTCACTGCTATAATGTTGACTCTCTTGTGCTTTTGCCTATACCTACCCAAGAAGACAAAAAGCGAGAGAACCCAGATTTAAAAACTATGAAATCTCCAATTGGGTATAATCAAAAGAGAAAACAAGGAAAAGATCAAGAAATCATGAAAAGTTTCATGGTACTTACTGTTTTTGAGTCCCAGAAGTGAACATTTCAGTGACAAAATTGATGTTCCTGTTTGCAGTATCAACCCCCAAATATATCATCTGCATTACACAAACCCACATGTAAAAATTACCATTATTACAATAGATATACATATATAGAAAGATAAGGCCTCGTTTGCCAAGTGACTTTTTTAGCTAAAAAGTCAAAAAGTTACTAAAAAAGCCAAAAAGCCAACAACCTATACCAAAAAGTCAAAGATTTCCTTTTCTCTCTACTTTTTGCACATCTTTTCGTAAAAAGCCAAAAAGTCATCCCAAACATACTGATTTTTTTAACATCATATTTTAGCCAAAAAGTCAAAAAGTTACTAAAAAAGCCTGTTCCCAAGCGAGGCCTAAGTATTGGGTTTTGCATGCCCGAAATGAAAGAGGAAACAGATGCAGAGACAAAGAGGCTGGTCAAAAGGAAGAAGAAGACACGTAAAAAGAGAGTCCCTTATGTGTATTTAAAACGTAATCAAATTCAGATTTTAGATTAACATAATACAAATGAAGTAGTTCAAACCAATCAAGGGATACTAGAGCCAAAATTTTGGTCCCCAGCAAGAATTAAGAATTCTAGAACATTGTGTTCCTCAAACAGCCACAAATACAGCCTCACAGCATCAGCTGTACCCTAATAACCAACAAAAATACAAATCAATACAGGGTGTCTAGCAAACGCTGAAGTGAAGGGAAAATGAGGCATTAAGCAAAACAAAATTGGGGAACAGTTTTTTTTTTTTTTGTAAGTGATGCACTAATAGCAACTATTTGCACCAAACCACAATTATTTGCATCAAACCACAATAGTTGACACTTGCAATAACATAAATGGTGTTCGTCGAACTAGTCCAATTCTTAGGGACACTTGCAAGATAAATCAGGAATGATTTAATTTCAATTATCAAGATGATCTCTATATCCCTCTCTCTCTCTCTCTCTCTCTCTCTCTCAACATTGTACTTTAATAATGAAAATGCTGAAAATGAACCAGATTTTTAGAAGAAAATTTGTCTATCACTACAACTAGATTAATCAGGTATTTTTTCTAAAAACTCCTTCAAAACGCTGATTGTAAACCCAAACACAACACTAAAAATATGGTAAATAAATTATTGTTTTTAAATATTCTGGGAATAATTACCAATAAACGTAAAAGCGATGATGATCGAGGCTTCAATCAATGCATCGCCAAAGCCCTAATGCGGGAATCAGGAAGGAGTCATCTCTATATCCCTCTCTCTCTCTCTCTTTCTAAAACTCTCAACGTCATCAACTTGAAATGCAAGAAACTCACCGATTTTTCTAGATCCGTTTTTCATCAAAATAACTTTCAGGAAAGAAAACACATACAGATCTTTCGTAACCATGGGAAACTTCTCTGTACATTCAATCGAAACGTCGAGATCTTTCGTTATCTTACCAAACTTGACGTGGTAGGAAGAGCTTGAGAAAGAAAGAGAGAGACTGTGGTGCTCACCTTAGTAGACGATGGTGCTCGCTCCCCTCGCCAGAGCAGATGGTGGAGGCGGTGGAGCTTTGAAATCGAGAGAGAGAGAGAGAGGGAACTTCGAAATCAAAATCGAAATCGCCAATCGCTCTAAGATTGGATCTGAGATAAATCACCAATCGCTCTAAGATTGGTTCAAACGGGGCTAAAGAAGGTTGATTCGATTAGTTGAGAGAGATTAGGGTTTAGAGAGGCTAGAGAGAGAGAGAGAGACCGAGACCCAGAGAGTGAGTGAGCGAGTCAGCGAGTGTTTTGGGCCCTCAGACTCAAAATAAGACATTTGAAAAGAGAGAGCACGTGGAGAGTTGGACATTTGGAGGCGTTTTTGAACGGCCTCTTATGAAAACGGTGTCGTTTTACTTTTAAAAAAATATGGCGTTTATCAAACGCCATGAAATATTAAAATAGATGACATTTAAAAAAAGGTCATTAAATAAACGCCATTAAATCTTACTTTCCTGGTAGCGGTGGTGCAATACCTACCAACCTGTCTGCGTTGCTCGAGTCTTGAATACTTGAACTTGATGGTCAACTACCAGACCGGAACCATCCCACCTGAGCTAGGCTCTTTATCAAAGCTTGGGGCTTTAAGCTTGGCTAGAAACAACCTTTCTGGGACCATCCCTCCATCCATAGGAAACTGTCATCTCTTTCCAGACTCTCTTTCATGTATTGAAATTTGCAAGGGGAGATTCCGGGAGAAATTGCCAGGCTTCGAGGCCTGAGATTGGTCCAGTTATCCGCGAATAACCTATCTGGCAAGGTTCCTTCCAACCTTTACAATATCTCCAACATCAATTTAATATCACTAGGTTTTCAACATTTCAAGTTTGGTTTTGTACAATTAGCCTCTACTCTTCCTAATCTCCAAGCTCTTTATCTTTTGGACAATTTGTTTACTGGAACACTTCCTACTTCACTGTCAAATGCTTCGGGGCTTCAAGCGATAAACTTCGTCTTTAATCATTTCAATGGGACAGTGCCGAAAGATCTTGGAAAACTTCTAGGTCTTCGAGGCATAAGCATTTCTAAAAATTGGTTGCAAGATGACCTCACTTTTATTTCATCTCTAACAAATTGCACCAATTTACGTATTATTGATACGGCTACAAATCTTCTCAGAGGTTCATTGCCAGACTCCATAGCTAATCTCTCCACATATCTTTACTAGATAGATTTGGGGGAAAATCAAATACATGGAAGCGTTCCTACAAGCATCGGGAACTTCATCAACCTCACTATCTTAGGTATGGCAACGAATTATCTTATTGGCCCTATTCCATCCTCCACTGGCAGACTTCATAAGCTGCAAGTTCTGAGGTTACACCAGAACAAATTCACACAACTTCCATCTTCGCTTGGTAATTTGACTTCGTTGAATAGTCTCTACTTGGGACAAAACAACATCCATGGAAGCATACCTACGAGTTTAGGAAATTGTCATAGCTTGTTGGAATTAGACCTTTCTCAAAATAATCTCAATGGTCCAATACCCCCTGAAATTACGAAGCTCTCAACCCTTTCAATATTCCTCTGGTTAGGTTAGAATGCACTGTCTAGTTCTCTTCCATTAGAAATCGGTTCTTTGACAAATCTTGGAAACTTGGATGTGTCCCATAATAGATTATTACAATCCATACCAAACACTCTTGGCAGTTGCTTGAGTCTGGAATGGTTTGAGTTGGAAAATAATTCATTTGAAAGAGAGATACCTCAAAGTTTGAGAACGCTAAGGGGTTTAAGAGTGTTAGATCTTTCGCACAATAATTTGTCGGGGCTGATCCCAAGTTATCTAGGTGAGTTTCAACTAGATATCTTGAATTTGTCTTTTAATAGGTTACATGGACAAGTTCTAATACAAGGAGTGTTTCAAAATACGAATGCGATTTCAGTTGTTGGAAATAATGATCTATGTGGAGGAATTGCAAAATTAGACCTTTCTCCTTATTCATCCTCCAAATCAAGCAAGAATAAGTTGTCTCACAAGCTGAAAATGATATTGGTTGTGGTGGTTGCTCTTGTGATATGTGCAACTTTGTTAGTTGTCTTCTTCTTATTTCTCCAACAACGACATGTCCTAAAAAAGAAGGCACCTTCCTTGCTGTTAGGTCCCTAGTTGCCAATTCTGCGAACAAACTCAGTTTAATGGAGTTATAATTTTTTCCTTGGTTTCGGTCCTCCTGCTCGAGCGTGAACATTTGTGCTCGAGCGGAGTTTGCACCTTCTCAGTAGTTTGACTTGTCTGCATAAATACTAGGAGGCGTGTTTTTGCACTCGAGCGGAGACCTGTTTAATCGCACGCATTTTAGTGATTCTGCTCGAGCGGCAAGTCCTGCGATTGAGCAGGGTACGCGGCCCCTGTTTTCTATATATATGTGTTTAGGTCCGTTTTTAGGTTTAATGCTTCTAGATCTATTTTGGGAGCTCTAGGGTTTTCTTTTAGAGGTTGTTTTGCTAGTTTTCCTTTGATGTTTTCTTGAGTATTAAACTCACATGGTTTGTTAATTCACATCAAAGGGTTATTTAAGTGATCATCTTTAAGAGTGTTCTTCTTCAGTGGAATCCAGAAATTCAAGTGTGGAGTGTTCGAAGGTGTTCAAAACTATGCGCGGTTATTGAGTCGACGTAGATGTTGTGGAATCAACATCAATCTAATTAATCCTGAGACGAAGGTTGTGGTGGACGATATACAAAGAGTTGAGGATAAATTGACAGAGTTTGGGTAATTTGTTTGGGTATTTTGTATTCTTTTTTCCTTCATAGTGAATTGATTTGTGGTGTTTCGCCCGCGGTTTTTTTAATCACAATTGGAAGTGCTCCAATAGTGATTTTTTCCATGTAAAAATCATTTATGTCTATTTATTGTTTCTGAAACAACAATCTAAATCACTTTCGTACGTGCTTGATGATTTAGATTGTTATTTTTAATTGTTTGGGAATTGGTACAATTAAATCTTGATCTAATCACGAATCACTTAGGTTTTTCAATGGGTATCAGAGCGGGTCACACTTTGTTTTTTTTATCAAAACTATAGGAGTGTGATTTTATGTGATTGGTGATATGGATTCAATGCGTGAAGGTAACTCAACCCATAGACCTCTGTTACTTGATGGTACAAACTATTCTTATTGGAAAGCTCATATGAGAATGTTTTTAAAATCTATCGATGAGAAAGTTTGGCACTGTGTAATCTATGGGTGGAGTGAACCTGTTGTCACTATTGATGGTGTTGATATTCTCAAACCTCTTGATAAATGGGATGTATTCGATTATCAAAATTTGAGTTGGAACAGTAAGGCTCTCAACTCCCTCTTTTGCTCCGTCACACCAGAAGAGTTTCGTCATATTTGTACTTGTGAAGTAGCAAGAGAGGCTTGAGATATTCTTGAAACTATTCACGAGAGTACTACTTCTGTTAAAAGGTCAAATCTTCAACGTCTCACCTCCACTTTTGAAACTTTTTTTTATGCTTGATGATGAGACGTTTGATGATTTTTATACTAAACTTAGTGACATCGTGAATTCTTGTTTCACACTAGGTGAAAA